ACAGGTGTTATTTACAGTGTAAAGTATCTCATGATAGAATATTTATCAATTGCAAAAGGAAAAATCATTAACTCTATAGTAAAGAAACCTGATAGACACTACCTTAAGTGATGGAAGTCAACATCATCAGTTAGAGACATCATGGGCCTCCTGATAGATGCATTAAGAAGAACAAAACATTATTTCTATGATATTCTTGCCAAAAATATTCTGAATCTCAGTATAAACAAACAGACAAGCCCTAATAATCGGCCTATACTGAACCAAATTGTGAATTTCACAGTAACTGAAATGTTCCTAATATAGAAGATTACAAAAACACAACTAAACAATGGTCCATGATATCGTTTTGTTGATATGGATATTATTGGGAGCAACTGATTTAACTCAATTAAGTCTGTGTAGTAGACAATAGTGGATATTACATAAATGTTAATTTTCTGATTTTTAAAACAGTCCTGTAATAACATACGCAAAGGTCCTTGAATTTGAAATACTCTAAATAACTTAGGAATACTGAGACATCAAACTTAAAATTGGCATTAAAGCATTTCATGGAATAAAATGTGTACAGAAATAAATAAAGTTTGGTTAAGTGTTAGTATTTTGGAAATATAAATAAATGGATCCGTGTAATTATTTGTACTTATTGGCCATTTTAAATCTAAAATTATCTCAAGAAGTAGCAATAATCAAATTGGTGTATAAGGAAACTAATTTTAAAATCACAAAATATATGACAATATCATTACTTTTCATCATTGCAAGACAAATCTGTATCTATTAAATTAAGGGCACCTAAAATAATTCATTTATCTAGCCATAAATGTTGATTAGCATACCCAACAACACTTAACTTACTTTCCTAACTCTCACTGTTACCTTTCTGGCCAGGGTACTTGTTATACTTTGTAATGTATCACTTCTCAGTGAGGAAAATCAGTTATTCCTGTGTTCTATCCTATGACACCCAACATGAGCAATTTTCCATCACTTAAATACTCATTTTCAGATTATATAGTAACAAAAGTGACTTTAGAATGTTTAGAATCTTCTTTAAAAAGGAATAATGACAAAGAACATAATGAATTAAAACACAGAACTAAAAAAAAAAAAAAAAAATAAGTAGTCCCTTCCAAAGTTTATTAAAGTCATATAGCAAGCTTGACATGGAAAATAACATACAAAATAAGATATAAAAACACATAATACACACACAAAGATAAAACATTAGGGGCAAGTAGGAGTTAATAAAAAGCAAAAACTGGGCCCAGCATAATGACTCAGTTGCTAAACACTCGTCTTGCACCCCCGAGACTCCATATAGGCGCCTGTTTGTATCCTGGCTGTTCCACTTCCTTTCTAGCTCCCTGCTTGTGGCCTGGGAAAGCAGTGGAGGATGGCTCAAGTCCTTAGGATCCTTCACTCACATAGGAGACCTGGAAAAAACTCCTGGCTCCTAGCTCTGGACCGATACAGCTGGCCATTGTGGCCATTTGGAGAGTGAACCAATGGATGGAAGATTTCTCTGTCTTACTCTTCATCTCTCTCTATAACTCTGCCTTTTAAATAAATAAATAAACATGTTAAACATAACAAAATTTTAAAAAGCAAAAAGCATACACATATACACATTTGAGAGAATTAGGGGAAAGTATTTGGAATGACAGGTAAGGTTGTATCCCATATTACGGTGCAGGGTTCAAGTTTCAGCTCTGCTTTCCATTCCAGCTTCCTGCTAATACCCACCATAGAGGCATGTAATAGCACCCTTTTTCACATTCGATATCTTTCCAATAATTATATTCAACATGTGGCTTGTTGCACAACTTACATATAGTATTTGGTAGGTAGGAGAAAAAAAAGCCAGTTGCTTTCAATAACATAATGACTCAAATTAAGAAACACCCACTAAGATAAAATATAATCATTAACAGATGATATTAAAACCCCTATCTCTTCTGAATATCCATATGGATAGTGAAGGAGCAGCTATGTATTGGAAAGAGATTGTGTATGTATTGTGAAGTTGATTCTGTTAAGGATCTAATACAGTTACATAGACAGATGCTTAAATGCATATGTGTGAAAGAGCAAAAGGTAGAAACCTTGATACGGTGATAATATGATACAAACAGAACAAAGAAAGCCAGATGGTTTGGATCCAAATCCTTGACCATTCTTCTACCTGCTAACGATGTGATCTTGGACAAGATAATTTCTAAACTCTTCTTACTGAGCTTTCTTTTAAATAAGGATTTGTCGTGTGATTATAATTATTAACTAATGGTTTAGGAAAATGAATATATGAGTATCCAGGAAAGAAACAAAAATGGAAAATTTCTCATGAGAAAACAAAGGAATGTCCTAGTGTCTAGACACTAAACAATAAGAGCTAAAGGAATTTAAAATAAAAGATCCACAGAGCCGGCTGAAATTATCTGTGAAATTTCAGGGAAAGAATTTGACCTGTCTTCACATATACACAAGAATTAAGGGAACTGGATAGGAAGATGAATAAAAGCTGAGAGGTCATAAAGACCAACATATTTCAAGAACAGGAAATAGAAGGTTCAGAATGCTGAGTATCGGCAGAAACAGCTAGAATACAGAAACTGCTGAGTGAATAACCAAACTAGCTAGATAATGATTTTCCTAGACTATGAAGAACTGTAGAAGGAGAAATAACATGACCAAGCAGAACTGTTGTTCACATAAGAAGAGTCTGAAGGAAGAAAATCAATATAGAGGCCAGACTGATAGCAGTGATGCGAAAAGAAAGAAGGAACACATCTACCAGAGGTAGGGAGTAGAGAGTAACGTGTCACCCAAAAATTTGATAATGATTTGATCTGGAAACAAGAAAATGGACTAAGCCAAATGACATATTAATAAAACTATTATAAGGAAAAAATAAATTGAAAGGTCTCAAAACCAAAAGAAAGGAGTTCCTTTGAAGTTTAAAGTTATTGAGTCTCGGTTAGAAAAGAGGTCAAGGGCCAGCATTATGGCACAATGTGTTAAGCAGCCAACTTTTTAAACAACTTCTAATTTGGGGGCCAGTTCTGGATGCTTCATTTCTGATCCAGATTTCTGCTAATGCACCTAGGAAAACAGCGGATGACGACTAAATGCTTGGGCCCCTGAACCACGTTAGAGACCCAGATGAAGTTCCTGGCTCCTGGCCCAGCCCTGGCCATTCAAACCATCTGGAGAATGAACCAACAAACAGCTCTCTCTCTCTCTCTCTTTCTCTCTCTCTTTCTCTCCCCCCTCCCTCCCCCCTCCCTCTATTTAAATCTGTCTTTCAAATCAATAAAATAGAAGTTAAAAAGATTTTTTTGAGATAACAGTGCAACATTCAAATTTTAAGATCCAGTTAGAAAAGGACAAGCATTTTAGCATAGTGGATAAGAGGCCATTTGGATACCTGCAGCCCATGCTAAAGTAACTAAATCTGAGTCCCATTCTTCACTTAAAAAAAAAAAAAGACTTTATTTTTATTAGAAATGCAGAGTTATATACAGAGATGGGGAGAGATAGAGAAAGAGGTCCTCCATTTTCTGGTTCATTCTCCAAATGGTCATAATGACTAGAGCTGAGCCAATCCAGAGCCAGGAGCTTCTTCTGTGTACTACACTTGGGAACAGGGGCCAAGGACTTGAGCCATCCTCCACTGCTTTTCCAAACCATAAGCACAGAGCTGGATGGGAAGTGGAGCAGCCGGGACATGAACTGGTGCCCATATGGGATGTTATTGCCCCAGACAGAGGCTTAGCCTACTACATGACAATGCTGACCCACCAATTTCACTTCTGATCTAGCTTTCTGATAACGTGCACCATGAGGGACAACAGATGATCGCTCAAGAAGGTGGATTCATATCATCCGCTGCCAGGAGACCCAGAATAAGCTTCCAACTTCTGGCTGGAAGTATCCAGGAGGCATTTAATAACACAAGATTAGTACTTATGAGAGGTGAGAACTTAAAACTTCAGACATAAAAAGCAAATGAATCCCTATTTAGAATGTTTTAGGCATTCCATTCGATCTTAGACAAAAGGCAGAGAAGCTATGTTGTTCTAGGCATGTCAAAATAGGCAGACAAAAGACTTGGCACTATTTTCACAGTGCCTTTTGTTTTTATACACTTCAATGTGTAACTCAGTTTGAAGCACATACTACACTCGCAGAAAACATTGCAGAGATGGGAGAAATACAGCTAAGAGCAAGGTTACACAAGTTGTTAGACAGTTTTAATTTACAAAAACTACATTTGTTGATTCCACTATTAACACAATACAGAGATAACATTTAAGTGTCTACAGAAAAGATTTCCCACAGAGTAATAAATGAAAATAAATGACAAGAATTGAACTTTGTGAACTGCTAGTTGCTAAGGCAGAAGGAAAAGAAACAAGGAACAACAGCAAAGAAAAAGTGGAAATGGCAATGCTATATCTTGTATTTCTGGGAAATAAGAAACAAAACACAGTCAACAGTATCAAATGCTTAAATATCACAATTAGTACTTCTCTGATATCCTATACCCAGGAACACATGATGGGGGAAGTCAAATTTTAAAAGTATAAATTAAAGAATTTTAACTTGCTTTTCATGAGATTTTAAATGTATATATCACTCATAGCAGTGGTTACAAAGTATGACTGCAACCTTCAGTAAATTTTCTCTCTATAAAACACATGACTAGTAACAATGAAAAATCACTACAATAAAAATAATGATTTACATATGAAATTAATTTTTAAAGTCTAAGAAAACAGAGCTAAAGGATAAATTTAAGTGTAAGATATTCTAAAATTCATGCATGAATGATCTTCAAAAAGTTCATGAACATGCATATTACCAAAAAAAACTATGCATGGAATTCAAGCATCAAAATAAACTTACCCGTTCATTCCTTTTTTCTATGAGCTTTTTAACGTACCCTCGTATATTTTAAGATAGTCATGAACAATTGAAAGCTCAAATTGTCTTACCTTAAATCTCTTGTCCTGTAATACTTTCTTGATGGCAACCAGTTCTCCTGAGTCACAAAGTTTTGCTTGGTATACTACACCAAATGACCCATTCCCAATCACTTTAGTGTCTGTATAACTGACTTCTTGCGGCCTGTCGGGTCCCTGCCCAGGAGTTGCAACCACTGTAGTTACCTTGCTGCCATCCTTGTCTCCTAAAACAAGGAAAGGAATAAAAACAAAATTAGAACTGTGTAAAGTTAAACTGAGGAAAATGCACAAGAATACAAAGACCATCATATTTTTCACTATATATTTTTAAAATCACCTTACTTAGTGATATAAAATTACATTACAAGTAATTTTTAAGCCACGATTTATTCAATCACTATAGATGAAGCATTATATGTAGTTTCATGTGTATGTGTGTGTATATATATATGTGTGTGTGTGTGTGTATATACTTTCATTTCATGAAAACAAGGACCCCATGAGGTAATGCTCCCAAACTGAAGGTAATAGAAAGTACATTAAATTTTTCCTACAGTTAAACAACAAACAGTAGATCCATCAGTTTGATCTTATCTGTCCATCTCTAAATGTCCTAGATCGTTTTCCCAAAGTCTTATTTGATTTGAAAACAAAATATTTGTCATTGAAAACATAAATATGCCAACTGTTTTCAGACCATATTTTTAAGAAAGTAGTAACTCACAGACATCAGAAGAAGAAAGGAATGTTAAATTAGGGTTAAAAGATACAAAACTTGAAACAAGAGCCCGGCTCAGTGGCCTAGCAGCTGAAGTCCTCGCCTTGAACGCGCCAGGATCCCATATGGGCACCGGTTCTAATCCCATCCAGCTCCCTGCTTGTGGCCTGGGAAAGCAGTTGAGGACAGCCCAAAGCCTTGGGACCCTGTACCAGCGTGGGAGACCTGGAAGAGGTTCCTGGATCCTGGCACCAGATCAGCGCAGTAACGGCCATTGTGCTCACTTGGGGAGTGAATCATCGGATGGAAGACCTTCCTCTCTGTCTCTCCTCCTCTTTGTACATCTGACTTTGTAATGAAAAATAAATAAATCTCTAAAAGCAAAAACAAAAAATAAATCCATTTTGAATTAAGGCACATTCACAAGAAACTTAATGGCTCATAGCCCTCACTACTAATAGTACTCAACAGGTTTAAGAAATACCTTGTACTTGACTAGCCTTGGTCCACAATCAGCTCGTTCTCTGAATTCTTAAATTATTCTAGATAGCATTATGTTACTCCATCCCTGAATTTTAAAAGCATTATTTCATTCTTCCAGTGATTTTAGAATACATATAGAATCCGGATAGCAAAATCATCTATCTTCTCCAAAATACATAAATTTTTACTATATCTTAATGGAGGTATTTATTTTAATTACTATTTCATCCTTCCTCATGCACATGCTTTCATCAAATCATGCACCCCTGGATTTATTTTTTTATTTTTTGAATTATCTTATGCTACAATTCCATAGGTTGTGAGATTTCCCTTACCCCACCCCTTCCCCAAATCCTATCCCATCACCCACTGATTTCCCCCATATTTTTACAATGCATAGTCTTTCATAAACAGCCACAAGTCCATTACTCTGCTATCTAAGTGTATCCTGACACTGTAAGTACAGACAATGGCAGAGAGTCCAGCGTACTATCGCCAAGACATATTTAACAGTTGCATTAGCAGCGTATCTTTGATTTGGAAGTAGAAATGCATGCTGCATTGTAGCTTCCCATCTGCATATGATAGTCTCAATTACACTTACTATACATCACCTTAAATGAAAAGCTATAAAACAAGTAACAGGAAGAAAAGTAGAAAATTTATAACATGAAGTTAAAAAACACAATACTGAGTGACTAACATGTAGCTGAAGAAACGAAAAAGAAAATAAGAAACCTTCCTGAAGAATGATGCTATTTATGACCTATGAGTCAGTGAAGAATTTAGTAAGAGAAAAAACCTATTTTGAAGAAACGAAAAATAAAAATATCAAAACCTAAGAGATGTAGCAAAAAACATATTGATCTTTTATTATTTTGAATGAAGGTTGCCTTGTATCAGGAGAAAATATGCTATTTGTCCTTTGGGGATTGACTTATTTCACTGAAATGGTCTGGAGTTGGGACCATTTGGTTGCAAATGGTAGCAATTGTGCCTCAGTTTCTCTCTCTTCCTTAACAAATCTAAAACCAATCTTTAGTAATATTTTTTTAAAAAGGCCTTAGGCTCACTGACTGAAATGTATGTATATTATCTGCTATCACTTCCATTGTATTAAAATTTTTTTTTAAATTCTAACTTAATTCAAACAATAAAATACTCAGTATTTTTCACTACTAAACTTTAAAGCGCCAAATAAGCTAGCTGCTTCTAGGGTCACCACCAGGGCCTGGCTCCCTGGAGCCTGGAGGTGTGGGCTTTCAGGGAGACTGGGAGATGGGGATGGTACCAGAGTGGGCACGCAGGGACTGGGGATTTCCCTACCTGCTTGATCCTGGGCAGGGTAAGGGGTCGGGGGTGGGGAGAAGCAGTTAGCATGCTGGAGTGGTCTGCTGGTGGACCAGACTGGGGAATCCATGTGCTCCCAGGCACAGGAACTATGGATTAATCAGAGAAAAGGCAAGGGTATGTGAGTGAAGGAGGACCCCTCAAGGAATTTCAGCTAATGACTTCTTAAGGACTCCCATCAACAAGACCACTGCTCCTGCAAGTAAGCAAGCAAGACAGGGCAATTTGGAAGAGGGAAGTCACAGGATTTTTATGGGTCAGAGTGATGAATCAGGCACACTGAAGTTAGGGCTGGGGCATACCTGGTAGGATTAGATCACAGTACCCACCAGTGATAGTCAGAGAACAGGGGATGGTCATGTTACGCTAGGCCATGACAATAAACAGTATGTGCGAGAATCGGGTCCTGGGTCAGATTCTGTGGGGCAAAGGTGGGCTTACTTCTGTGGAACAACAATTTCTGCTGTTTGGCCTAAGAGCTGAGAGTAGTGATGGGCTAAGCTAGGCAAGACTGTGGAACTCCCTGACACTCATGGGTACTGGAGTTGGGAATTGGCCAAGCTGGTCCAGGCAGCAGCAACTACCAGGCACACCCAAAAATAGGGTATTGGGCAGGATGGGCCACAACATCCACCAGCTCATACAAAGCCTGGGATGGAGGAGGCAGACCATGCCAGGTAAGGGCCTAGCACCCATTGGCACATGTGAGATTTGGGGTCTGGGAGTGGGCTGGTGGGGGAATTTGGGAAGCTCCCTTGGTGGGCCATAGCTCCCACTGGTGAGCATGCCTGATCCAGGCCTGGATGTTTCTGAGGCCAGGCAAGGTAGTTCCACCTGTCAGCAAGGGTGTGGGTTGGTTCTAGACTCACTAGCTCACCAGCATGTGCAGGATCCAGGCTAGGCTATCACACCTGCCATTTGCATGAAAGCCAGGGATGAGGGCAAACTGGGCAGGGATAGGCTGTAGCATTCACCCGCAAGAGTTGGGACTGGGAGCGAGTCAAGACAGATCAGGCTGCATTTGATGAAAAAGGCTAACAATAGGGGTGCATTACGCCATGTTGGGTCAGAGCAACCAGCGGCACATGCAAGATCTGTGACTGGAAACAGGCCTGGTTGGGGAGCTAAGGAGAGGACCCCAGTTGGGTAGTGATTCCCATTCCTGAGTACAAAAGCCAAAATGGAGGTGGCAATTTTGCTAGGCATGACTACAGTGTTCCTGGGCATGGATATAGACTGGGTCCGGGGTGTGCTAGATTAGACTAGGTTCCCACTGCTTGTGAGAGCCAGGGTGGGTCTATGATGGACTGGGCTAGGTCTTAGTACCCAACAGCAAGGATCAGAATGGGTGTGGGCCTTTAGGGTAAGGCCCCAGTTCCTGCCAAGACAGGAGGTAGACTAAGTCAATCCGGGCCAAACACCCACTGGTGTGTGTGAGATCTGCCACTGGAAGGAGACCTGACAGAGGAGCTTGGGGAACTCCTCTGTGAGGACGTAGTCCCTACAGGTTAGCCCAAGAACCAAACAGGAAGCAGCCCAGACCAGATGAGGTTACAATACCCACTGGAATACGTGTGGGTCAGGACTGGAGGCAGACCAGGATGGGCCAGTTCATAACACTCAGTGACAGATGTGAGAACCAGTACGGGTGCACGACAAGCCAGGTCAGGCCACAATACCAGCCAGTTCACATTAGGGCTAGGACTAGAGGTTGACTGGAGTGGGCTAGGCTGTAGCACCCATCAGCATGAGCTGGAACTGCAGGCAGACAAGGCCATGTAAGAAGGCTGTAGCACCCACCTGCACCCACTGCACAAGTGAGACGGGCGTAGGGAGAGATGGGCCCAGCAGTGAGGCTGTTGGGGTCTTCCCTACTGTGCCACTGCTCCTACTGGCAAATGTGAGAACTGAGAAGACCAGGCCGTGCAGGGATACAACACCCCTTGGCCTGCATATGAACTGGGTTGGGGGAGAGACAGGCTGGGCTAACTGACTGTACCCACTGGTACATTCATGAGCCAGAGTAAGAACAGCTTGACTGGCTTTGCTGAAGTATCAGCTGGCAAGTGCTGGAACAACTTCAAATGTGGTTTCTTTGGGGATCTTCCTAACCAAAATGCTGGACTCAGAACTCCAACCATGGGGAGAATCACAGGATCTGTGGTCTGACCATAAAGCTCATGTGTAAGAACTGGGCCTCCTCAGTGGCTTAGAGCAGTAGACAACATACCCAGATGCACATGGAGGTTATGGCAGTCTACTGGAACCTGCAGAGGGCATTTGGTAGGGCAGAGGAAGGAGGGAAGAACGAATTGGTCAACTACCCCAGCCAAGTGTTGACAGCAAATATATGAGCGAATGGAGGTTCTAAAGTGGACTATGTTTGCCAACTGACCTTGGAATGATTTCTTCATCCTTGGATGGGTGAGATCAACAGCATTTCAGAAGTAAGAAAACCACTGAGCAGAACCCTCAGAGCATGCTCCACATTGGGGACCCTGGGATAACTTCAGGTGGTCGTTTCCAACTCCGAGCTACTGAGGTGGTTGGGAGGCTGGGTGTGGCGTCTCTTCTACCTCCCCCCTTCTCCCAGAGTCAGGAGGAAAAAGAAAATTTGGAAAGAATGGTCTCACCCTCTTTACCCTAATCATCAACCCTTTACATCATAATCAA